TCAGGAGTTTGAGGTCCCCCTGGGTAATACAGTGAGAACTTGTCTCTAATAAACAAATAAATTAACAATGAATGAGCCAAACAAACCTCATCTAATTTCCAAATTAACCCCTGGATTCCTGTTTCCAATGCTGGACTTTGACTTATGTCCACCCGAAGGGCTTCATCTTTCACTCTGCCCCCTTATACTCACACCTGTGCTCTGACCATATTCCAAGAATGGCAGTTCTTTGAATGTACCACACTGTTTCCTACTTTGGTGCCCTTCAACATGTGTTGCCCAGCCCTGCCTTCACCACATGTCCAAAAGTCCTTCCTTGTCCCCTTTTCTTGCCTGCAAATACATATTGCACAGTTCCGCTGAAGGACCTTTCTTCAAGGCATCCCTCACCCCTACCCAGACCAAACTCACCATACTCTCCCTTGTCACCCCCTATCCCAAAACTCTATATAACCTCCTTATTATATCTATAACATTTTGCTCTTATTTATTTTCTTGATTCCTCCTAAAAGACTCTAAGTTCCCCAAAGGCAGAGATGGTATCTTTTCAATCTCTGTATTCTCAGCACCTCATGCAGTAGCTAGTATACCATCATCATCATCATCATAATTAACGCATTCAGTGCTTACCATGTTCCAAGTGCTTTACAAGTATTAACTTGAATTCTCACACAAACCCTGGATAATTACCCTAATTTTACAGATGAAGGAACTGAAGCAGAGTGTCATAAGCTTCAACACCAAATAGTGTAGAGTCAGAGAGTATGGGTCTAGACGATGTTTTCTCTCATATGGCACAGTGTTATTTTTTGGAAATAAAATTAAACCTAAGGGTCATTTCCTACTAGTTGATCACTTCAGTATTTCCAATCTCTTTTTTACGTATCTTTCCGTTGCTAACAAAATAGAAGGGCTCACAGATAGCTTTGCCAAGAAGAATTTTATTAAAATACTGGTGCTTAAAGACTCTAATCCCACCCAGCCCTCCTGAATTCATCTGGTCTTGATTCAGCGTTGGTGAAAACAGAGTGCAGTCTGACCCAGTGATAACCCCATTAGGCAGTTTCTTTTGATGCAAACAGCAATTTAAGCAAATATGCCCTTTTGTTTTTTCTAGTGCTCTTTGTTATTGTAGTAATATCCAAGCTGAGCTTCATGTGGGAAATCAAAGAGCCAAAGACGGGGACTTTTCATTATACACAGAAATCCAACGGAATGCTTTTTATTCCTATTCAAGCAGTTACTACTTATCTGCATGACTAAGGCATGGAAGATCTAAAAAGAAACTAAGTGCTAGTCTGGTCTCTGCTCCTTCACCCACATGGAAGTTTCACAAGCATGTTTAAAGTTTTGGGTCAAGTGCTGTCACTCTCAAAAACCAGTGGGTCTGCATTTTCCTTTGCACTACAGGTACTCTACGGACATTGCTGCGGTTTTTATCTGATTAGAAGTATCCAACTAAAGTAGTTAAATGTTGAGAAAAGGTAAATAACTGATAGTACATAAGAGAACCTGAAGTACTCTGTTGACACTTAAATTATACAGCCAAGGACAATGGAGGAAATCATTTAGTGCTATTAATCAGTAATCCAACAGTATTGTGTCTGTGTGCAACTGTCTTTCCTTTGGCTAATATCTGTGAATTAATTGGTCATTGAAAAATCTGATAAAGGAATATTCTAAAAGTACACAGTGAAATCCAAATTATTTCTATCAATTACAGCTCACCTTTTCTGAGGCTTAAACTTGACATTTAAAAACATTTTCGTTATTACTTTGTTTTAAAATGAACAATATACCTCTGGTTAAAATTCTACCTTTTAAAAATTAAGGTATTTGAGACCTGGAGGGCTTAATCCTCTACTTAATATTTATTTTACTTTAGTAGTTTTTGTACAGAAAGTTTGTGAAAGATTTCATCCCCTATATATAGTTTTTTTATCCTCCAAAATCTGGTCCTACACTATATTCCTTGACCCATGAGGTCAAGTGGTGCCATCTGCTGGTCATAAGAAGTGGTGTCATCTGCTGGTCATTGGTATATAACTGTATGAGAAAAACCACATGCACTGCTCTAGAAGTAACTTAAGTAAACTGCAGTAGAGTACACTTACCACTTTAGAATTAACCTTTAAGTTATAACTTCTCTCTTCCTCTTCCACCTTTCTCTCTCGTGTTTTCTCTTATGAAGCCAATATGACTCAAGCTTTAGACTATTTTAAACGGCAGATTTGAGAAAAAAAAAAAAAAAGCAAACTTTTGATGCCCCCTGGTGTTCAGATTCCTTAGTATTTCTGAACTTTCTCTTTTGCTAAAACTAAAAACATAATAATGTGTTCTTCATTCATTCATTCATTCACTTATTCATTCATCTAATGAACATAACTATATCATGAATCTATGAATTACGCTCTATTTGAAATAACTGGATACCAAATTGTGACCAACATGACAAGGAAAGAAAAAGGAAGAATCTCAAGACAAAGTTAAACTGAAATCTGTTTTTAAGTGTCCTTCGAGTTTCTCAGTTCAGTTGTACCAAATCTATGATGGCTGGCCTTATAAGCAACCTGAGGAAGAGAGGAAAAGAGGGTAGAAGGCGAAGGGGAGAGAGGGGAGGAAGGAGAGGGGGCGCTGGCTCAGTGAACATGACATAATCCACTCATGACACACAGAACAGACAACTTGTTGCTTCCTCTTTAAGTGCATTGTAAATGTAACACTTTTTATTTTTTTGAGAGGGAATTTCACTCTTGCTGCTCAGGCTGGAGTGCAATGACCCAGTCTCCGCTCACCGCAACCTCTGCCTCCCGTGTTCAAGTGATTCTCCTGCCTCAGCCTCCTGAGTAGCTCGGATTACCAGCATGTGCCACCACACCCAGCTAATTTTTGTATTTTTTAGTAGAGATGGGGTTTCTCCATGTTGGTCAGGTTGGTCTCGAACTCCCAACCTCAGGTGATCCACCTGCCTCGACCTCCCAAAGTGTTGGGATTATAGGCGGGAGCCACCACGCCCAGCCAACATTTTAAATAAAGAGATAAATGAGGTTAATGGGAATATATTACTTTACGAGCAAGATTTGTGTCTAATGCTTTAATTTAATTGTGGCAATTATTGTCAGATGGTCTAGGATAAAATTTTGTATCCGGTACATGACCTTTGGGAAGCTCTAGGAAGCCCTCAGCAACATCATATTTCTCTTCGCACACCTCTGCTCCATTAGCCAGCAAGAGAGATTTTCATGGTTGGATAAGAAGCTTCTTAGATGATCACCAATACTCCATGACTACTCATCAATCTAGCCACCTGAAACAATCACCAGTACAACAGGACTGCCATTATCTCCATGATATGGAGTGAAGAGCTCATCTACGTGCCAGGAAAGTGGTGCACCCCAGCTGCATGGGAACAGAAGCTCCTGTGCTCAGGACCCTTCTAGGCCTCACTTTATGTATCTGTTTATCTGGATGTTTATTCATATCCTTTCAAATACCCTTTGTAATAAATCAGTAAATGTGTTTCCCTGAGTGCTGTGAGCCACTCTAGCAAATTAATCGAACCCAAAGAAGGGGTCATGGGAACCCCAACTTGAAGCCCGTCAGTCCGAAGTTCCAGAAGCCCGGACTTGCAACTGGGGGGAAGGAGGGGATAGTCTTGTGGGAGTAAGCTCCTAACCTGTGGGATCTGATGCTATATCTGGGCAGATAGTTGGAATTAAATTAGAGGACACCCAGTTGGGTCCTGCTGCAAAATTGACTGCTTGCTTGCTGGAGGGGGAAAATAAGCACATATTTTGGGATCACAGAAGTCTCCTGTGCGATTGTTATGGTGTGAGAGCGCAGGAAAAATGGTTTAAGAGTTTTTCCCAAACAACATGATATACATGTACCAAAATATTGCTGTATCCCACAATACATAAAATTATTTTGTGCCAACTAAAAAGAAAAGGAAAAACAAGAATTTAAAAATCCTAGAATGGTATTGGCATAGAAACAGACATATAGAACAGTGGAACACAACAGAAATTCCAGAAATAAACTCGTATTTGTGGTCAATTTAGTTTTGACAAAGATGTCAAGAACAAACAATAGGTACAATGACAGTCTCTTCAGTAAGTGGTGTTGGAAAAACTGGATATTCACCCACAGAAGAATGAAATTACACCCTCATCTCACTCCATATACAAAAATCAACTCAAAATAGATTGCAGATTTAAATGTAAAGCCCAAAACTGTAAAATTTATAAAAGAAAACATAGAGGAAAAGCCCTGTGACACTGGTCTGGACGATGGTTTCTTGGATACACCCTGAAAAGCATAGGCAATAAAAGAAAAAATAGACAAATGGGACTGTATCAAACAGAAAAAGCTTCTGGACAGCAAAATAAATAATAAAGAAACAACCCATGAATTGGGATAAAATATTTGCAAACCTTACTTCTGATAAGGACCTAATATCCAAAATATATAAGGAACTAAAACAATTCAGTGGCAAGAAAACAAATAACCTGATTTTTAAAAATGGGCAAAGGACCAAAGCTGACATTTCTCAAAAGAAGACAAATGGCCAGCAGATACATGAAAAACTATTCAACATCATCAATCATCAGGGAAATGCAAATTAAAATCACAATGAGATATCAAATCATGTCTATTAGAATGGCTATTATCAAAAAGATGAAAGAGAACAAGTGTTGGAGGGGAATGCGGAGAAAAGGGAACCCTTGTACACAGTTGGTAGGAAGGTAAATTAGTACAACCACTTCAGAAAACAGTACAAAGTTTCCTCAAACAAATAAAAATACAATTACCATATGATTCAGAAATTCCACTTCTGGGCATATACCCAAAGAAAATGAAATGAGTATGTAAAGGAGATATGTGCACTTCCATGTTTATTGAAGCCTTATTCACAACAGCCAAGATATGAAAGCAACGTAAGTGTCCATTATGAATGAATGGATAAAGATGATACACATTGAATATTATTCAACCTTTAGAAAAAGAAAGAAATTCTGCCCTTTGTGACAATGAGGATGAACTGGGAGAAAATTATGCCTAAGTGGAATAGGCCAGGCAGAGAAACACAAATACTGTACTGCATGATCTTACTTATACATGGAATCTAAAAAAGTCAAACTCACAGATGTAGAGAGTAGAAGAATGGTGCCTACCAGAGGCTGGGGATTTGGAGATAGTGATTATTTGGATGGGGAAAGGGAAGATGTTGATCAAAGGGCACAAAGTTTCAGTTAACACAGAAGAAATAAGTCTGTGATCTATTGCACAGCATGGTGACTATAATTAAGAATAATGTTTTATATATTTCAAAATTGCTAAAAGAGATTTTAAATGTTCTTACATAAAGAAATGCTAAGTATCTGAGGTAGAAAATATGTCACTTTGATGTAATTATTCTACAATGTGCATATATGTTCATATATATTATTACATCACACCTCCTGAGTATATACAATTATTTGTCAATTACAATAAATTAAGAAAAATACAGTAAGCAAAAACCCCTCTTCCACTTTCCCTCAGTACTTTACAAATCATTTCCCATTACATTCTTATGAAGTGCTAGTTTAGTAATTAGCAAGCCTCTGTACCACTTCACCCCTATTTTAAGTCACCCTTTCCATCTCTTTTCTTTTATTAAAATCTAGTCTATCCTTTTACTACACAGCTTTCTCTTAAGGAAGTTGATATTCTTCCATTCCCTACATACTAGGGGACTGTGATGAAGGGTAGCATTCTCCTGGTTTCTCATTGCCAACTCCAGGTTGGTTTGCTTCCATGGCCTCTAGAAAAACAAATCTCTTAGAAGGCGGTCTCTTCCATCTAGCTCTACCATCCTCTGATCATCCCTGTGGCTTTGATTTACCAGTCCCTCCAACAGCTAGACCTTGTATCATGGTCTTGCCCTTACCCCAAGTCCTATCTGCCACAGTTCCAGGAGATGCAATATGAATGTAGACAATACATACACAGAGATTAAAAAAAAAAAAAAAACACCTTCCCCCTTTCACCCTATCTGACTAATTCAATTGCTCACTTCTTGGATCTTGCCATAACCTTTAGAACTTACTACTCTTCTAAAACCTTGAGCTCTGATATTTCCCTCCAGGACCTCCTCTCCTTCCCTCTTTCACATTCCTTCACCCTACCCTCATGGCTCTTAGACACCTTTAAGCCCTCCAGTCCCTTGATCCTCCACCCCCTTGATCCTCCACCTTCATCCATCATCCAGGTCCTTCATGGCTTCATTGTTCCCCACAGGGGCTGGATTTCTTTGATTGATAAGATAAACTCATACCTCCCCAACATCCTCAATTCCTTGAGGTCCTATCTGATCAGACAAGATTGAGGGGCTGTCAGAAAAAAATTATACGCCCTTGCAGATTGGTACCATTTCTAATTCATGGTCCCTATTTCTCATATGGTCAAATCTTTGTCATCTTTTCTCAAACTCATTATGCAACCCTTATCTCTTATTTTATTGAGAAAATGATACCATCAAGAGTGGTCTTCCTTAGGTTCACAGCATCTATTCTTACATTATCTAGAGGCCCCATTCTTACCTCCTTTCTTCCAGCCCCATGTCTCCATTCTAATAGAGGACTATGATTTCTGTCAGAGCTTCTGATCCCATTCCTCTGGGATCTTGTGCCATTAGGTATATCTTTCTTAGTGTCTTCCATGTGAACTTCTTTTCACCTGCTTACAAACATGCTCAAAACTCTCTCACTAGTAAAAGAAAAAAAAAATACCCCATTGATTACCTATCCTCTGCTGTTCATCTCCCAGTATCTCCTCCCTCTTCATCCAGACTTTATGAAGGACAGGTTTGTTGTTTATTTTCCTCATCCACAGGCTGCTCACCCTCTCTCCAATTTGCCGGAGTTTCGTTCTTGAGGCAATAGTCCATGTGAGTTTTGTATTGGATATTTGAAAAAAAAAAAGTCCAGGGTAAGATAAGGGTGAGAGCTCTGTGTGTGAAGAAGTATTTAAAAGCTATTTGGGTTTTGAATTATATTAAAAGTCAGAAAATTTAAAAACAAGTCTTCCTTAAGCATTTCTGTTCAACTTACAAATCTTGTTATCCTGTTTACAAGTTGAGTACAATGAGAAATATCACCTTCACTTTTTTATTGATTACTGTATTAGCTATTTTTGGATTAACATTTCTATATTGAACAGAATAATTTTCCTCAGTACTTTAATTATATTCAGTTAAATATTTTAAAGAGTTTTTCAAAAATTTGATTTTAATTTTTAAGCATTTCAAATATCTGACAGGACAAATTTATAATACCTATAAACAAAATGTTTCCAAGAACTCAGATAATGCTTGAAATAAAAGTATTTATACTCAGGAAATATAACGAATCAAAGTATCTTATATAATCTGATAATAATATATTCCATTTTTATGATTAGCTTTGTTAACCCAAAATATCTGAGACAGGTCTCAGTCAATTTCAAAAGATTATTTTGCCCAAGGTTAAGGATGCGCCAGTGACACAGCCTCAGGTCCATGATCAGCCTTCCACTGCATACACAATTTAGTCTGGTTCAATGAATTTGCATTTTTACATAAACAATAGGGCAGAGGAAGCAATCAGATATGCAGTTGTCTCAGGTGAGCCTCAGAGGGATGACTTTGAGTTCTGTCTGTCTTTCGTCCACAACGAATTTCCTTGGGCAAACTGTGAGGGAGGTATGTAGCTTCTTATATTTGTAGCTATCTTATCCAGGAATAAAATGGGAAGCAGGTTTTCCTAACATAGTTCCTGGCTTGGCTTTTCCCTTGGCTTACTCATTTTTTCCCTTGGCTAAATGATTTATACTTCTTTCACAGGTTCAACAAAGTATGGACAGCCACGTAGAAATATGATTAGACAAAAAGGGGATGACATACTGCTAACAGACTGAGTAGGGAAACCCAGCAAAGCTGTCTGTCTAGATTCTTCTTGGCCTCTCTGTGTAGCATTCCTTCCTTATGGGTGTGGGGCAGGTCTCTCTCTGGAATGGGGGTCTTATAACCCACAGTCAAACAAGATAGGTCAGATAATTTCTTCATGGCCATATTTGCATATTTTTTGGTTCTTATCTTTTACACAGAAAGGCAGAGGGAAGGTTAGAGAAATATGTTTAGGTTTTATGGCTGGCTTTAGGGAAAAAGTCTTCTGGTTTCTATTATCCACCTTGGGGAAGAAGGATTCTAGTTTCTATGGTAGCATCAGGGGGAGAATGGGAGTGAAAGACAGGCAGGAGAAGGTCAGAGAAAAACTCTTGCTTTTGAGGCTGCTTCTGAGGCCTTCATTTTTGGGGTGTTGTTTTCTGAATCTCAACACTGGAAAAAATAATAATTAATCAAGAGTTCAGACTTTGCAATTAGGACAGATTCAGGGCTGAATCTCAATTACTTTAATTACATAAATTTGAGAAGACTTCTTAAATGCTCTGAGTCTCATGTTCCTCATGCAATGATAGTGATAATAAAACCTACACTTGTCCTTTCTCAAACATCACATCTGACCTAGAATTTTATTATCTCAGTTTAAGGCTTAATAGTGTAAAATTCATAAACCCCTGGGTGAGGTAACATTTTAAGCTGATTTTGGCAACTTAACAGGTTTGACAGGTTGGATTGACATTTTGATGGGCTAGAGAGAGGGAAGTCCTGAAGATTCCAAACAGACAAGGAAGCTTTGGGGAGAGGCAAATAAGCAGAAAAGATGAAGTTATAGCAATTCAACTTATCTCTCTCCCCTCCTCTGTAAAATGGAAATTATAATAGCAACCACATTAATAGCTGTGAGGATTAAATGAAGAATATGTGGCTCTTAATAAGTATTAGCTGTTTTGTTGTTGCTATTGAAGATGCTGGGAAGACAAACATGACTTTGTTCCCGATTTGTTTTTAGGATTGTATGTACAGACGGCATATGGATTTGGCAGAGAAGAAAAGCAACGCTCTTAGATTTATTTCCTACATTTTAATGTTTTTCACTGTATACAGGTGTGCCTTAAGTTTTTAAAGTGGAATAAAGAGCAGTGGGTCACATAAGAGCTCATTATATGGGTCTCTCATCATAGCTTAGATCCTGACATGCTAAGGAGAGATTATGTTGCATCTGTGATATTAAAATACATCTGGGTATCTATTACTTTTTGGCCCTTTTCTATAAAAAGCACAGAAGCTGAGAATCATATCTCTTTAGAGCAAGATTGAACATACTCTCTCTTTCACTGAGGGAGGTACAGGATTCAGGGCTTAATCTTGCACTTTGCTTATCCTTAATAGAAATAATAATACCTACCTTATAGGATGTGAAGATCCTGGGATTCCAGGGTAGATGGCCATTCTGTTGATCTGAATATGCTTTTAATGTGCAGAATTAATCTAAGAAAAGTGAAAAACTGGTGAGATTTTACTTCAAAAAATCCAAATTATATGCAACTCAAGTCATCTTCAGTAGAGTTTCAGAAATGATAGGGGAGATACAATTTGAAGTGAACTTTGAAAACAAGACAAGGTGACTTGCAATGAAGGCTATTTCTAGGGTAAAAGGGACTTCAAATAGAAGGAATGAATAAAGAAAACTGAAGGAGAACTTGATTCTATTGCAACAAGAAACATATGGGAAATTCCAACTATCTGGAGCAAACCAACTTTAAAGCAGACTGTCAAAACTGACCCTGCTTATCTCATTTTAAAGCATGGGATTCTTTCCTCAACCAAAAACACAGATGCCAGGTTACACTTTATAATTTCCACTTTCATTAAAGGTCATTATAAGGACTTGCCACCTAAAATGTGACGTAAATATTTTTTGAGAAAGCTACTTTATCACTTGTAATTCCCTCTATAAAGTACCTGCAATAAATGCATTTTTAAAATCAGATTTCAGTAATATTTTCACCTGTGACATACTACTTATTTTGTTTATCATTATGATAATGGGAGAATGGAACACTTTTCTTTGTTTTTTGTTCTTATTTCCTTAAAATTTTAGAGTAATAGTCACGTACTAACCTATAAGAAATTTAGAAAGGTTCAATTAGTTAGGCTTTCTATGACAAAAACATCTAAGTCTCTAGTTACTAAAATGTTAATGTTTATGTGGCATCATGGTCTATACTGTAGAGTCAGAGTAAAGACACATAGCTATATTTTTTAGATCAAGAATTTGTTCAGTTATTTACAATCAAGAGTGTTAAGAGAACTTGGATTGCAGACAAATTATATTCTGCAATTATATTCAATTTTTTTCAGAATGTTACCTTAGGACTGGCCTGGTACATACTTGCACATCTTTTGCTTCTTATCTTAATAAACACTAGCCACTATTTTCTTTTCAGTACATTTTTTTTTTCCTTCTTGGGTGGGGTAAAGAGAAGTTGATTATTCTGATAATTGCCTGTGGAGAAGTTTCTCTGGACACAATTTTATTAAGGGCATTGAGTCTCTTTGGGGTTTTTTTCTTCCCAATGACCACACTGTGCACAATGGTGATGTTGTGAATTTTGAACCTGAATTTATACCAGTTCAGACATCTTTGGCTTCTCACGCTGACATAGGCTTGCCCGGCTGAGAATCTGAAGATGCAATAATTTTTAAAATGTCTTACCATCATTATTACAATTAGTTTACTTATTGTTCCCCCAGATATTTTTTCAACAATGTTCTGCTAAATCTAGAGTGGCTGCTTGCTAATAGAATTTTAGTTTTTTCACTAAGCTGCCAGGATGGGACTCTAATCCATTGTCAAAAGTAGTGGCCAAAATGTCCCTACTCATTGTGGCTGTGATACAGGTGTATTGTAAAAAGATCTGATTAACACATAATTGGGGATCTCTAAGTACACTTCCATGTTATTTAGAATTTTTATTTTGGCCCAAATATCTATAAGGTAGTGGAGAGTTATGTGAGTTTCTTAGGCCATGGAAACTTGCCAGCTTTAATACCTCCAGATGAGGATGGGTTACCAGCCAGCTTGGGCCCATTTTGTAGTACCCATCCAGGACAGACACAATGGCCAGGCACAGAAATATAACAATTCAGTGGGAAAGCTGATGCAGTTGGTTGAGGTGATACATTTCATGCATTTGTATGAATACTTCCTCTTGAATATTTGATGATTCTGGAATGGTTTGGAGAAGACTTCAAAAATAACATGTTTAGTAAAAGGGAACTGTAGGACACTGAAGAACCATTGCTCAAGACCCAGTATAGTCAGCTACTGGTGATAACCATTTCAGTACTTTGTTGGCTAGGACCTAGAAGCTGGGAAGACATTTATGAGAGATTATCAAAAAGGGGAGAAGCTGTTGAAACCTTCATACTGTTTCATAATCAGAATTATTGTAAGATGACCTAGTTCTTTATAATTATCTTCAGAAAAGCAAGGGTACAGGTTAACAGAGGGGGATTTATAGGATAAGAACAGAAGGGCAGGGCAAAATCTATGCTCCTAGACAGACCGACTCTCCTTGTCTTGTTGACATAGTAATCAAAAAGGGAGACCACTGAAAATGTTTGCGTATTGAAAATTAATGAAAATTTTGTCTTCCTTTTTAGGACTTGTTAAGAAAAAACATGACCCAAAACTTGGAAATAAGGCAAAAATATTACCGCCTACCTTTTCAAAGATACTGCACTAAAGAAAGCACTGTCTCACAAGCCTGTCCAAGGGTTATCCAAGTCTGGGTAGCAAGGGGTCATGTGATTCAGGCACTACCCTGAGCAGAAAACAATGGCCCAAGACCTCAGCCAAACCCAGCTCTCCACCTGTTTTTGTACAACTTTGAACTGAGAATGCTTTTTTACAATCTTAAGTGGTTGGAAAAATATCAAAAGTAGAATAATATTTTGTCACATGTAAGTGTATATGAAATTCAAACTTTAGAAGAATTTCCTCTTCACAGACATCACATCTTCAAGAGCAAATGCTTGAGCCCTTACCTGCAAGTTATAGTAGAAAAGTCCAGAAGTCCAGCCTGGTCCTCTCCAAGTTTCCAACTCCTATGCCTAGGGGTATTTTAAGCTTACAAGCTCTAACTTGGTTACAGCGTCTAACTTTTAGCAGAGAGGCAGTGCTGAGTAGAAACTGGACTTGCTAATCATATCAAGTCACTTAAGTTGGCTAGAACCCCCTACTTAGGTAGCAGCCATAAAGCCCGGGGCATCCTTGTGTCCTCAATGGTTCACTTCTGAGTGGTGGGCTTCCTGCCCCTCAAAAGAGCAATCAGCAGAAAGGCCCCTAGAAAGCTACATTGTCTTCATCCACGAAGGACTCCCTGTCTCCTGTTTCTCAAAGGAGCATCCGAATTCTACTTTCATTCCTCTTTTACCATTGCATTTTATAACTTAAAAGAAATAGATGATTGTAACAGAATAAAGAAAACTTTACATTGTGAGAAAATTTAGACCTAAAGCATACAGTAATAAGAGGACGAAAGTCTATACTGTTTAAGTAAACAGGTTCTATGAGGCTAACATCACACAGTGGTATTTTGAATTAAATTGTACTTGTGTTTCGTTTCCGTGTTTTGCTGCTGTAAGAGGAAAGCATCCCCTTTCTCGGCCTGCCTCCCACCTCCAGGCTAATTTGCAGCATTTCTACATCTCAGAGTCCACCCTTAAGATCCTTGTCAACCATTGTTTTGTTGCAGAACGCTTAATCCATCAAGGAAGGTTAAATTGGATTATCCCAGTAGGGAAGGGATGGGGGCTTTGAGCATGAGGGATTATCCCTGTAAAGGGCTGGTGGTGGTGGTGGTGGTGGTGGTGGTGGTGTGTGTGTGTGTGTGTGTGTGTGTGTGTGTCCTGCTAGTGTTGAATGATGGAGACCTTAGTCTGGATTCTGAATCCAGGTGTACTGGATACCGCTCCGGCGTAGAAAGGGTTAAAGATGCCCCCAGTCGGGTAGAGCAGACTGGGAGTTGCGCACAGTCTCAAACGCCTTAAAGCCGCTCCTCACATTGAAGATAAGTAAATCATAGTTCGTAAATCAGAAAGATTATCCAGTAGTACGTTACTCTGTTTATTTCCCTTTCGTCATCCCTGAGTCTTGGGTCAAGTCCATCCCAGCTGTGTCCTCCAGGAATCAAGGGAAACACGCAAACCCCCGGTGGGTTCGCAGCCGTAGGAAGTGCAAACCACGCCCCCGCCACGGCAGCCGCCCCGCGTTAACTGCCTGAGAGAATCTCTGGCCGGCCAGTTCCGTCCTTGGTGAGGATTTTCCCTTGCGCGAGAACTTGTGGAACGCCGCCGGGCCAGATTTTGCTGCTGAGGCCTCTGACGCCACGAATATCGGGCCAAGCAGGGAGTGCTGCTGTTCCTTACAGGGTTTTTGTGAATGTTAAGTAAGCCAATTAAAGTCCAAAACACGCAGTCTGGAACAATACAGCGCTCGATAAATTGTCTCCATTATTATCATTATCCGTTAGTTACAACTGGGGATTAAAAAAAAAAAAAAACCGACAAAAACCCGGAGAACCGGAAAGGTCTGCAAAAGGGGCGGAACGCGGGAACTTCGATTTGGGGAAGGGGTGGCGGGGGAGATCCCACACAAGCAGCCAATCCAGCTGTCCCGGGGAGGAAGAGGAGGAGTCAAGGCCCGCCCCGGGTCTCCGCACTGCTCAGTCCAGCTCTGTGAGGTTGGCACGGTTGCTGATCTTCGGTCCCTTTGGTTCTCTTAGTCCCGAGCGCTCGCCCACTGCAGCTTCCTTTCCCGTGCAGATATGGCCTCTGGCACCACCACCACCGCCGTGAAGGTGAGATGAGTCCTCCCAGCCGCAGCGGTTCGCCCTGCCGGGTGCCTTCTCGCCCCCGCCCCGGCGTACCGCGCCTCCCGGGGCCATACGCCCGGCCCGCGCGCCCCTGCCGCGGCGGGGAGGGACTGGGGCTGGGCACTCGGGACTCACTTGCCGCTCGAGGAGAGGGTACGCTTGCGAATGATCCTGTCCCCGATACAGACACACACACACACACACACACACACAACCTTTTGGCTCATCTGCACCCGCTGCCCGTAGGGCGTAGGCACCCCTTTAGAGAGAGGTGTCGTGGATGGGAGAGGCTGCGCCCAGGCCGCCACCATTCCTGAGCACCACTGTTCTCCCGAGAAAGACACCCGGCTAGAGCCAGCAGGTGTCCGGGCGCCTGCAGCTTCTGTGACCATCTCCTAGTGCCTTGCGGGACTCCAGCTTCCGCTCTCTTGACTCTGCTTGCTGCCTGTGGCCCACGTGGGAGAACTGCTTACTTGCTCTTTTGCATGCTTCCGGCTTCTTCCTCCGAACGTAGGCCTCCGCGCTGAAGTTTCCCCCAGCAGCGCAATGCTGTAGGGGTTCTGAGACTTTCTTCGAAAAGTACAGGCGTCCCTTTTTAGGGCTGCACCGTTTGGAGGCGTCTGGCTTCAAACTGCTTTGTTTTGCAGCCTTGCAAGTTAGAGTTCAATTTCCTTGTGCTCTAGGCCCTTAGAGGTCTCGATACAAGGAATCATTGTGCGGTGGGAAGCTTTGTGCTGGAGAGGGCACAAGTTCTGAGAGTAGCAGCTGGCTTCCCTGGGGTTTTAAATACTTCTCTCCTGGTTAGTATTCCGAGAGAGAATTAAATTACAGCACATAAAGAAAAATTGATGCTAAAACTTAAGGCCTCTTCTAGGGAGTTTATTACTGGCTAAGAACGCAGTTAACTTGTTTGATTTTTAGAAATTTTTGGCCTATGGAATAGGAAGGTCTGCGATCTTCTCCAGAGCATCTCGATACCCTACACTCGACTGCAGTTTTCCCGGGAGAAGGCGAATCTCTGCGGTCAGTGTGTAATCAGCCAGATTAGTTTGTTAAGCCCTTGCAGGTTTAAATGAGCCACTTAGAATGGGAGGAATGGTGAAGGGTGTTGCATCCAGACTTACATATGAAACTTATTTTGTCATTTTGAGAAGAATCTTGCATCCAGCAACTATTTATAGAAGGCCTCGCCCCTGCCTTCATGGTTTGGCGGAAAAAAGGCAGAAATGGTTTTCATGAAACTCGTGTGAAGTATGTGACTACTCTTGGGTGCTCATCTATAAACTGAGAATTTTACTGCTGAATTTGCTGGGAGAGCTAGAATTAAATTGTCTATGTTGCACATGGTTGAAGCTTATTAAGTGGTAGTGCTTATAAGTGGGGGAACTGAGATTAATTTTGAATGACCTTTTCCCCAACAATTATTAAGTTATTGTGTTAGGTATCATTAGGCCACAACATTTCACCTTACCCTTGCAGGAATACACTTCGAATGCCATTAAAAATAGAGAGATGGTGTTTGAAACAGTCTTACTTCAATCTGATTAGCATTCTCCCTGCCACACGGTTTCCCTTCAAATTAATGCAGTGCATTTAAGTGCAGAATGGGCAGTGTGATTCTCAGAGACCTAATGTAAATATTGAATAATGTGTATTTTTGATCTTGGCAAGCTTCTGGATATAAAATTAAGAGATACATATGGTGCTAGGACTGCCTGCTGATTTCTCTTTCAGTTTAGAACAGATGACAGCTTTGCTGTTGAGATTCCATGATGCCAGCACCATATTCCCCAGACTTCTAAGGCAACATTCTGTATAGAAAATGTGAGGTGCCAGTGTCCAGAGCAAAATAGGTTAAAAAAAACCACATCCTATTCCCAAATTATAGAATAATGGGACTGGAAAATGTTCCTTCAAGACCATCCGTATAACCACACAAATCCCTTTTGCAGGTGTAAAGTTGAGACCCAGAAAGGTCAGCTAAGGTGTCCAGAATTACACAGCTGGACCTAGATAAGGACACAGTTGGGCCTAGAGCCTGGCATTCCACCAACTAGATGTGAGGCATTTCTGAAATCTGAAGTGTGGTCTCTTTGCCCTGTTTTCTTGTGACTTAATGCACAATTAAAATGAGCACTTGATAGAATGTCCATCTTGAAGAGGGAGGCAGAGTGCGAGCAGAAAGCAGGCTGTCTCCAGTGCCCGCTGGACACCACCCAGGTAGAGGTGTAGGAGGCACATGTGTGTCTGAGCCCCATTGGTGTCGCTGGCAGGTCCTTTGAGAGGTGGCTGGATTTAAATACAGTAACGTGTAACACATTCAGTCCAGTTCTAGGTACTCCTTTAATGTCAGCCCAAGTACCTCTCTTTTTAAAATAGAGATATGAACAGGGAATGGATCTTAAATTCATTCTCAATTTAAGAGGTGCAGTTAACTCATGCAAGTGAAAGATTCCACTGAGTTTTGGATTGACAGTATAATAGTTGGCGAATCTTTCAAATCTAGCCATCTACTGGTGGAATCCTATTCAAAAATATTTATTGAATACCTGCCAGACACTGGGGATGCATCTTTGAGTAAGCAAGGCCTTATTTTCTTCAAGTTTATATTTTAGTCAGGGCGGAAAACCAACTGACATGAAAGTGAAACAGCAATAAGATTCCATTGGGTGAGGGGTGTCAGAAAAGACTCCTAGGGAGGTGGATTTTAAGCTGTGCAGTAGTCTGCCTCCAAAATCTGTATGTTGAAACCTAATCGCCAGTGTGATGGTATTAGAAGATGGGGCCTTCGGGCATGATTGGGTCATAAAGGTGGAGCCCTCATGAATGGAATCAGTGCCCTAGAGAGCTGCCTTATTCCCTCCACTAAGTGAGAGGACACCATCTGTGAGCCAAAACGTGGGCCTTCCCCAGACACTGAATCTGCTGTGACCTTAGACTTGCTAAGCCTCCAGACTGTGAGAAATTTCTGCTGTTTATAAGCCACGCAGTCCTAAGATACCTTGTTATAGCAGCCTGAATGGACTTAAACAAGCTGATAGTGAAAATAAGGATAAAGATCCAAGTGAAGATCTGAGGAGAGAGATGGGGGTAGGAGAGCAAAAACCAAGGTGTCGCAGCAGTGAACTCAGTGTAGTGAGAATGGAAATTATGGATGCACAGTGAGAATTGGGTGGATGCAGCTCATAAGGCCATCCTTATAGACCACAATCAAGAATTTTGATTTTAAATGTTTTGGAAACTGTTGAAGAGCAGCAGGTGGTATTTGATTTACATTTTAAAATGGTTACCCTGGCTGTTGTGTACAGAATAGCCAGTGGGCAGGGGAAGAGCTAAGAGATCAGGCCAGAAGTCTTGGTGTTGGTGCTGAAGTCTAGGGTGAGAGCCATGGAGATGGTGAGGAATAATGAGATTGGGGATAGAATTTGCAGGTAAGATGTGGGGAGTGCGGGAAGAAGAACAGGATGATTTCTGCTTTTGACCTGGAAAAGCAAAAAGATGGTGGTACTGGTGGGTCATTTCAAAGTGGGCGATAAGGGGCCATGAGTGACTCCTTGGAGCCAAGGAGGGTGAGTGTAGGATTCCTTCCTCCCAGATACTGCTGGTTAGGGGGCCAGAGGCTGAGATGCTGAGGGGCCTCTTTGCTGTAGGAGCAGAGTGGGTGGCAGGTTGAGGGAAGGAGAAAACCACCTGGAGTGAGAGTAATTGAAACAGGCTTTTTTGTGGTTCACTGCAGTGAGAGGTGGTCCAGGCAGGGAGTAAGGCTATTACTTGGGGGGTAGCCATGGAGAGAGGCAGCAGGAGCCAGAGGCTATGGGATTAACACCGCTATTGTCTGAGAGGACCTCAGGGAGACATTGTCCTCCAGCATCAGCCAAGGGCAGGTAGTATTCCTGAGAGAGGGCCAAACTAGTCTTTGGCACCCAAATAGAGGGCATTCTGGAGGGCTCCAGCAGCATACCATGACTCCCCTGGGCAGCCTCCCAGCTTTCACTCTGGGAGATTAAAAATAAGACTTGGCCAAGCGCAGCGGCTCATGCGTGTAATCCCAACACTTTGGGAGGCCCAGATGGGCAGATCACCTGAGCTCAGAAGTTCAGGACCAGCCTGGGCAACATGATGAAACCCCATCTCTACAAAAAATACAAAAATTAACTCGGCACGGTGCTGCACGCCTGTAATCCTGGCTACTCAGGCGGCCAAGGTGGACGAATCCCTTAAACCCAGAAGGCAGAGGTTGCCGTGAGCAGAGATTGCGCCATTGCACTCCAGCCTGGGCGACAAGAGTAAGATCCTGCCTCAAAATAATAATGATGATAATAATAATAACAACAACTTGTTAATCATGGTTGCTGTGACAAGGAGGGGATATGGTCCCATTGTGGGTTGGTAGTGAGCTATAAACATAATGATATTAAGGGAGATGGACAAGTCATGGTTTGTAGACTGTGGAACATGGGCCTTTACACTCTCCGCTTGGCTGTCTCGAGTGTGGCCTACAAGGGCCTTCAGCCTGAAAGTCCTAGTGTGGCCATCTGAAACTGAGGACAACCCGTAGTCCCCAGTTGAAAATCAGATGACCAACGAGCCTTCATTTTTTTGCCTAGGGACACAAAGGCATTTTGGGCAGGACAATTACTTGTTTTGTAGGACTGTCCCAAGCATTGCGGGACATGGAGTACAACCCTTAACCCCCTCCGCAGAAATGCCATTAGCACTCCCCGTAGTCATGACAACAGCCAGAAATAGCCCTGTTTCCAGACACCCCCAGGAGAGCTGTTTGACATTTAGTTGAGGACCCTAAGGCAAAATCACAAAAAGACTACCAGCCGAAGAGAGGTAGGAGCAGCCAGGTTTTGTACTGCTCAGCAGAGTAAAAGGAGGAAATAAGGGCTTTTTTTGTTACTTTGAGGAAGTTTATTTTGATTTTTTATTTTTGCCAGGAGTAGTAGGGCATACAGAAACAGTGACTGATATTAATACAT